ATTGTACACGCAAATATTCTAATTTTAGTATGTCAAATGTTTTCAGAATTTCTCCATTTTGGCCCATAAATCTTTAAATTGTTCCAGGTAAGCTTTTTTCAGGATCCAAAATATTCATAAGACTTTTTCTCATAATTCTGAAACATGTATGTTCCTGATGGTGGCTGGTCAGGGACTGTGCTTAGAATCTAGGTTCCCCAGAAGAGCATAAGACATTCCTTTGATTGCCACTAGAGGGCAAGCATCCTCATAAAACCTGATGGACTGGATGAGTCAGGCTGAACTGCCCCGGAGCACTCCCACTAGAAACCTGGGGCCAGCAAAGATGGTCCTCGAAGGGTCGGGATGGAAAGGATCAGAGTGAAAATGAAGTCCTCAAGATCTCAACTCAAAAGTAGGAGATCTTAGATTGGAGAGAGCTTACCCGTTTTCTTACAAAAGCTGTCAGGGGGACAACTGAGCTGTCAGTGGCTCCACCAGGCACCAGTGCATTCACTCACGCTGGGGGAACCTGGTCACTCCATGGTTCCTACTCTTGTTGTCAATTATGTTGGCTTAAAACCACAAGATCTTTACATTTGGAAAGGAGAGCTTTATTTCTTATTATGGGTTGCAACTTACAAGCTAGGAATTGAAGTGAGGATGGGACAGGGGTTTTACACTAAATGAATTGGCTAAACATACATTTTTTTTTTTAATAGAGATGGGGTTTCTCCATGTTGTCCAGGGTGATTTCGAATTTGTGACTTTGTGATCTGCCTGCCTCAGCCTCCCAAAGTGCTGGGATTATAGGCGTGAGCCGCCGCACCTGGCCAAACATACATGTTTAATAAGTTTTAGGAAAATTTATGAATATGAGAGTTGCACACATGTGTACCAAGAAAACATGTTATATTTGTCCCATATTCGCTTTGAGGTCGGGACATTAAAATGCAGTCGAATTCGCCTTTATATGTCAAAAGGGGAAAAACAGAACCCAAAGCACTTTGTGTGCTGCCTCTGTAAACTGGCTAGAACTGGTCCGTGGTTGAGAGTAATTGATCAGGAAGGAATGTTTTGTAAGCTGGTCAGCTTTCATGTCAAAATTGGGAAAGGGAAGGGAGTCTGGCAGTTGGTTGAAATTGAAATCAGTGAAGTCTCCAGATCTTGGTTTTCCAGGGCTGATTTCTGTTTAACTCTTGGGAAAGAAGCCTGGTGATGGTTCATGAGGAAGTGGGTATGTACTGAGGTGTGATTGACCTATCATCATGGCTGGGAAACTTAGATTTTAAAGTTTTTCCAGAGTCTCTTTGGCCAAGAGGTGTCCATTCAGTTGTTTGGAGGGCTGAGGATTTTGTATGTATTTTCTAGAGGGCTGAGTCCTCTGAAGACCTCAGCAGGTGGAGAACTCTGGAATCCTCAGGCCTCCTTTCCTCCTTTATACCCCAGTGCTGACTAGAGAAGGACAGACAGATGTCTAGGAACGCCTGGAGATGGGAGCTCCTCTAGAGGGAGCTCCTGCCCTCTCATCCTCTGCCCCCAGCCTGGGGGCTGATCATCAACTAGACTTTATTGCCCCTCCACTGCAAGAGTGAGACCTGCTCCCTGAGCCAGGCCCCTGGGCCATGAGGGCTTCAGAAAAAGCGACCAGCAAATGGAAGATTGGGTTAGAGGTCAAGTTCAGTTCCTCTGGTGAGTCCTCACCAATTGTGGAGCCTCAGTGCCCTGCTCCGAAGGATGAGGTGGTGTGCCTATCTGGAAACTGGGTGCTAGGTCCAGCAGGGAGCGACAGTCAGACAGCCAGCTTGGAACCAGTCCAGAGAGTATCTATCTGAGCTGGAAGCTTGATACCACAAGGTTAACCATTGGCATTCCTTCCAACCACAACCTGAAGCCTGCCCTAGGACCAGCCACATATAATAGGAAGCTGTTTGACTCACAGAGGTGGAGATTCTAGGCCTCAGGGAACAGAAGAAGGGCCTCAGAGTTAGAGAAGAGAGAAACCTGAGCTCTTCCCTGAGTGCCAGCTGTTCACACATGCAATCTCACATCACTCATCTTCCCAGCTGCAGAAACTACTGATCTTAGTCTGATTCTAAGCCTGACTTCTTTCACCTACCCGTTGCAGGAGAGAAGCTCTGTGAGGGGCCCACAGGGCACCATCCTAACGAATGTAGATTAAGTGTTTCTTCTTTGGCCTTATCAGCTGCCCACTCCCCACATAACCCTCCCCCCCCCACTTTTTTGTTTTGAGAAGGAGTTTCACTCTTGTTGCCCAGGCTAGAGTGCAATGGTGCAATCTTGGGTCACTGAAACCTTCACCTCCCAGGTTCAAGTGATGTTCCTGTCTCAGCCTCCTGAGTAGCTGGGGTTACAGGCATGCACCACCATGTCCAGCTAATTTTGTATTTTTAGTAGAGATGGGGTTTCTCCATGTTGGACCAACTAATCTCAAACTCTCACCCTCAGGTCATCTGCCTGCCTCGGCCTCCCAAAGTTCTGGGATTATAGGCAAGAGCAACCATGCCCAGCTCCCCTCATAACTTCTATCTCAGCCACCCTAGAATTCCGTTCACACTTCTATTACCCCTAAACCTTTGCACTTGCTGAGACCTCTCCGCAGAATGCCGTTGTTGTGCTTGGCAAACGTTACTCCTTTGGAAGCCTTCCCCGACGTCGTTGGGCTTCAGCAGAACAACACCACACTCTGTGCTTCCCTCTGTGAAAGGCTCATCTAATTGTTCTAAGAGTTACTGGTTCTCAGAATTGTCTGTCCCCACCAGACCTTGCACAGAACTCAGTTTCCTTCCTGTTGGCTGAGACCAGCATGGGCCAGTGGACTGGATGCTCAGAAAGCATTAGTTGACTGACAGAATGGATGCAGTGATTCCTTAACTTACTGAGCACCTTCTTGGTACCAGGCACTAACCCAGGCCCTGGGGATTGAGCATAAAATGACATAGACACAACCCTGCTGTCGGGAGAGTATGTTTTGTTAGGGGAAAGGCAGACAACAAACCCAGTAGAGAAAAATCCACACAAGGGCACAGAATGGTGTGATGAGACATCAGCTGGGTGGCTTTGTTAGGCTGAGTGGTCAGAAGTCATTTTAGGGGGACGTGTAGGTTACCATCTAAGTGGCCACAAGGGGCAGGCCTGCAGAGGATTAATGAAGAACATTTCAGGCACACAGAGAAGGAGTTGCTGGAGCAAAGACCCTCATTATGAGAAGTGTGACTGGAACTCATTTACAGAGGTGGTACGGGGAAGATTTGGCTTGAGGGCTCAGAGATGGGGCACGCCTTCTATGCCATTGAAGAAGTTTGGTTTTTACAAAAGACACCACTGGAAAGCATTGAAGGGTTGGTGGAAGAGTTGTAACATACAACGTGTTTAGGTTTTAGTTTTACTTTTTTAAAAAAGGTCCATCAGTTAGTAGAACATGTAGGTGGAAGTGTGCTGATGAATAGAGTATCTCTAGTTCTCCATTTCTCCCTGCAGCGTATTTACTAGTTACAAAGGGGAAAGTGTAGTGGAGGAACCTGGCAGACATGATCTCAACCAAAAGATCAAAGTTAACGTCACCAGGAACAAGCAAACCCCACACCATGTGGCTCCCATTATGATGCATGAGATAACCATGTAGGGTATTCATGCCCAAAATGCATAACCTCAGTGAATCATGAGGAAACAGATTAACCCAAGTCGGGGGTACTCTACAAAATAACTGGCCTGTGGCTTTCAGCAATGTCAGGATCATAAAAAAAAAAATATTCCTTCCAATGCCCATCAGTAGGAGACTGAATTCAGTGTGATGTGCACATAGAATGGATTTTTACCCAGTAATTTAAGATCTCAATAGGTCAACATGGACAGATCTCAGGAACAATGACAGATGAAAACTGCACTGAGATGCCCTTTTCCCCACCTGTAAGATGAACAGAAAACCAAAGTTTGATGGCATACCGTGTTGACAGGGTTGTGAGGTAACAGGCACTTTCTTTCTCTCACTCTCTCTCTCTTTTTTTTTTTTTTTTTGAGAGTAGGTCTTGCTCTGTTGCCCAGGCTGGAGTGCAGTGGCACAATCACAGCTCACTGTAGCCTCAGCCTCCTAGGACTCAAGTGATTCTCTCACCTCAGCCTCCCTGCTAGTTTGGACTACAGACACACACCACCATGCCCAGCTGGTTTTTTTAGTTTTTTGTAGAGATAAAGTTTCATGTTGCCCAGGCTGACCTTGAACTCCTGGGCTCAAGAGATTCTCCTGCCTCAGTCTCCCAAACTGCTGGGATCACAGGTATGAGCCATTGCACCCAGCAGAGAGACAGCCACTCTCATACTTTGCTAGTGGTGGGGGGCCACATTGATACAACCCACATAAAGTTGTAACTCTCAAAATTAGATATACTCTTGACCCAATAATCCTTCTGGAATTTAAATACAACATTCCACTTAGTAAAAGATTGTTAATTGCAACATTAGTTGTCATTTTTTAAAAAAAGTAGGTCAGGCACAATGACTCATACCTATAATCCCAGCACTCTGAGAGGCCAAGGAGGGAGGATCGCCTGGGCCAGGAGTTCAAGACCAGCCTTGGTAACATAGCACGACTCCTGTCTGAAATGAATGAATGAACGAGTTCATCACTGAGACCCTCCTCCCCACCAATATCTCCAACCAGCCCATATCTAATGAGGGAAGGGTAACGAAACTCTCAACTTGAAAGAAACTTCCCAACTTGAAGCCCAATAACTCACTGGCTACCTCTGCCCATCTTCCTCCATCTGTGTCTTTGCCTGTGTGTAGTGTGGGTGGGATGAGCTTGGCGTGAGGGGGAAGCCAGTGCAGCAATAAGAGACTCAGACTAAGGGGTCAGATACCTGTATTCTAGCTCAACCTCTACACCCTACTTCCCAGTGAATGTCAGGCTAGTTCCAGTCCGATTTGGGGCCTATCAGTGGAAAAGATGAAGCATTGTGTCCCTTCAACCCACCCGTCCCCAAATTACAAGACACAAGACACACGTGGATCTGTCTATTAGAATGAGTTGTTGGAGGAACACCAGGGAACCCTTCTTGGATCAGGAACAAATGTTCACGGTCCCAAAATCCCACGGGATGGGGCCTCAGCCTTCATGGCCGCAGCATAGAACCTCGCCACCTCCTCGTTGGGGTTGCCCTGGGCCGAGTCAAACCACATCTGGATGCAGCGGCCGCTCCCTCGGCTGTAGTCGCTGACCTTGTAGGAGTGACTCCAGAGGCCCTCACAAAGGGCGGCTGGAGTGGGGAAGTAGGACTCAAAGGTGTGGCAGAGGGCCCCGGCAGGACACTCATTAATCCCTGAGGGAGGAGAACATAAGACCCTTAGCTTCTGGGCCAGACCACACCCCTCCCAACCCCAAAGCCCCACTCCCACTCCTCATCTGGTCTCCTCCCGGCCCTCACCTGAGGTCCAATTCCACCCTTTTTGCCAGTTGCTCTTGCAGGTGTAGGAGGTGCGACAGTCTTCCCACCAGCGCTCGCAGTCCTCTTTGCACAGGGGCACGTTCAGGATGCGCTCTTTGCGCCAGCTCTGATTGACCTGGGTGGGGAGGAAAGGGAAGGCTCCTGTCAGCCACGTATCTCAGTAGCTGCAGGCTTGAAGGGGACCAGAGCTGTGGGAGGGGGCAGGGCCTCCACCACCCTCAGACCTGAATTCCTGGACCAAGCCCTCCCTGCAAGTGGCTGGCAGGCTCTGCCCTCTTCTGAGGGTCATATTTGTGGGAACGACACTCATACCTGCCGGATCCAGGGCCCCAGGTTGGGTGAGCACTCATAGAGACAGTTGTCCTGGATGAAGTGGCGCTTGCAGGCGGGCTCCATCCTGCCGCAGTGCTCCCAGTTAAAGTTGTACAGGCGGGAGGTGTCCTTGTGCAGCTCCTGGCTGGTGTTGGCCGTGCAGCAGGCGTTCTTCCTCCAGGGACTGCACTGGGTGGGGAAGACACAGGACTGAGTCCCTCCCCACCACCGCCGTCTCCTCCATATTCTGGCTCCTCTGCCCCAGGTAGGTCATCCAGAGGAACACTTGCTGGGGAGGGCCCTTGAGGAATCCCCACCTCGGGACAGAGGCAATTACAATATTGGTGGTTTTTTCACTATTTATTAAGACAGGGTCTTGATCTGTTGACAAGGCTGGAGCACAGAGGTGTGATCATAGCTCTCTGTAGCCTCATCCTCCTGGGCTCAAACAATCCTCCCACCTCAGCTTCCAAGGAGCTGGGATTCAGGCACATGCTACCACCCCTGGCTAATAGAAAATATTTCTGTGGAGATGGGGTCTCACTATGTTGCCCGGGCTGGTCTCAAACTTCTTAACTCAAGCAATTCTCTCATTTCAGCATCCCAAATCCCATTAGAGGCATAAGCCACCATGCCTAGTTAATTTTGGCTTTTAACAGAGGTAATATGGGGGATATAGGAGATGACGGGGAGCCACTGTCTGGGAGAGTGATTATTATTTGTACAGCTCTAACTGTTCAATAATTTATTTTATGTTGTTCAGTTTATTTATATTATTCATTTTGCATCCAGCCAATATTAACTGAGTGCTTAATATACATCAGACACTGCTAGGTCCTAGGAACACTGCAGTGAACAGAACAAATAACATCTCTACCTACCCTCAGGGAGGTTGTGGTTTTAGTGGGTGGGAGGTCTGTGTGTACAAGGAAGACAAAGAACACTCTAGGCAGAAAATCATAGGTGCAAAGTCCCTCAGGCTTTTGTACTTTATTTTCTCAACAACTCAGTACCAACACTTAGCTCCATTTTTATAGTTTAAGTAACCTATACCTATAGTAAATAGTGGGCTTAAGATTAAGACAGGGCACAGTGGCACACACCTGTAATCCCAGCACTTTGGGAGGCTAAGGCAGGCGGATCACAAGGTCAGGATTTCGAGATCAGCCTAGGCAATCTGGTGAAACCCCATCTTTACTAAAAATACGAAAACTAGCTGGGCATGGTGGCACACACCTGTAGTCCCAGCTACTCAGGAGGCTGAGGCAGAAGAATCGCTTGAACCCAGGAGGTGGAAGTTGCAGTGGGCCTAGATCACGCCGCTGCACTCCAGCCTGGGCAACAGAGTGAACTCCGTCTCATAACAAAAAAGATTTAGCTCAGGACAGAGAGGAGAAGAACCTGGCCCCAGGTTGTGGTGGAAGGTGAAGGTCTGGCATTCCCCGGGTCTGGAGGTCCAGGCGTGGAGACTCCAGATAGGTACTGGGAATGGTGAGGGAAGAGAAGATCTATAGCCTGCACATGAGCCTGAACCTGGACTTGACTAAATGTAGGAAAGGCCATCCTAGAAAGGTAAATACAAGGAGGTAAGACAAGCGGAAATGGTGGAGATTTCTCTTTGGAAATCACTCTAGGCCAGGACTCAGAGAACCTGAGAAATCAGGAGTCAATTGCTTAAAATTTCTGGGCTGAACCCTTGCACCTAGGGTCAAGTGATGGTGGAGGTGCGACAGGTCTGAGCACCCAGGAGAAACAGTAGGGAAATCCATGGGAATGGAGCCAGATCTACCCTTCTCCCACACCCTGGCCCACACCTGGTGCCGGCTGACACACAACATGCTTCCCCGCCTGCCCGACTTCACACTTGCGTTTCCTTACATGTCCCAACTCTTGGTCTCCCTGCAAGACCCCTTGCACATCATGGGTCTTGGGGTTTGGCAGACATGGGTCTTGCCTGTCAGGGTCAGGAGTTTGTGCCTCTGAGAGGGTTAGTGAATATAATGAAAAGAACACCCTGGCTGTAGTAGGGGCTCTACAAATATCATCACTCTCATATGGCTCATGGCCCTGAGAATTATAATCATCTGTGTCTCTCAAAGATCTACGTCTGCACCATTTCCTGGCAAAGAGGAGGTACTCTAGAAGGTTCTGAAAAGCAAATGAAATGGTGGGCACAGAGTTTCAGTTTCAGTTTTGGAGGATGAAAGAGGTTAGGAGACGGATATGGTGGTGATGGTTGCACCACATGAGCATTCTTAATGCCACTGAACTGTATAGTTAAAAACAGCTAAAATGCAAAATTTATGTTTTTTGGGTTTTTAAATTTTTAACCCAAATTTAAAATAAGCAAATAGAATGTTGGAAACGACTCAGATGTCACGGGACTTCCGGGCTGTCCACTCTTCACTTTAGCCCTCAGATCCTGTCCATGCCACAGGCTCCCCCTGGGCACATCCCCAGCCCTTTGGGAATGTGAACACTTGTAGGGAGCAGACCAGGAGACCAGAGGAATAAAATACAGGCACTTTCCTGAGCCTGGAGTTCAAATTCGAGCTCACGCTCCCCAAGCTCCCTTAGTGGCCTTATCTGTGGAATGGGACCCTTCCTTCTCTTGTGGACATCACGCCCTTGGCTCTGGCCACACTGGACCCACCATTTCTCATGCTGTCACCCTCTGACCTGAGTACATGCTGTCCTCTGCCAGGCTGCCCTTTCCTGCTTTTTCCTCCTTGAAAACTCTTACTCATCTTCCCAGGCCAAGGCCAATGGCCTCTTCACTGGGAAGTCTCCCCAGCATATCTGATTGGTCGCTGTCTCTTCAGTACCTAATGGGGGTGGGAAGCTGGCCTGTTTGTAGGTGTTGGCTGCACCATGACCATGAGGGGCCCAGCTCCTCTTCTACTGTGCCATTGAGCTCTGTGGGCTGACACATAATTAAGCCTGGGAAAGTATGGACAATCCCTCTCCTCAGTTCCCACTTGCACCTGTGCCCTCTGTGGGCCTATTTCCTCATTTGCATAAGTAGAGACCACCACACACCCACCCTGCCCTTTGGGCTTATTCACTAACATGACATGAGTGAAAGCGTGTGAGTCATAGGCTCATAGTGACTGTTAGGTATGTGGTCTCTTTATTATTGTAGATTTGGTGGCCTCTGGTGGGGAGGCCCTCCAGAATCACAGCAGCCATCCTCCTGCCTTCATCACCTCCCACAGCTGGCTTCTCCACCCTGTTAACTTATGTCTGTCAGAGGCAGCCCTCTCCCTCGCCACAGACTCCACTTTATCCTCACCTGGCCATACAGGTTGTCCTCAGGGCCGGGATGTGCCTTGTGGTGCTTGGCGTCCATGCAGACATTAAGCAGGCCTGTCCTGGCCCGCACACTCCTGGGCTGGGCGCTCCCTGCAGCGGTCACCAAAGCCAGAAGCAGCAGTTGGGTCATCTTCCAGGCCATGTCCATCTGTTCCTACCAGAGACCCACAGTCAGAGGTGGACAAGGTGTGAGGGAAGGGCAACAGCCACAAGATTGTGTACTGTCCCCCTCCCAGGCCCAGATCTCTGCCCTCCCTACACTGCACCCCCCACAGGGCAGCTGAGCCAAGAAATAAAGGGTATATAGAGGTGAGAGGGAGCCCTTCCCCAATTTGGAGGCAGTACCCACCTGCTTCCCACTCAACAGAGCTCTAGGTTCAGTATCTGCCACCAGCTTGCTCTGTGACTTGTAGGAAGCCGTCACCCCTGTGGACTTCCCCTCTTTGATTTCTCCAGTGTTTTATGCAATTCCTCTAAAATTTGTGCAAGGTGAAACCACAGGTCATGGTCTGCTGATGCAGGGGTGGGACTCTAGACAGCCTCAGACTTGTGTTTGCTCAGCCCGTCCTCCTATCCTAGAGCTGCTGAGGTTTAGATGCCCAGAGAAGCTGAGCTGGGGCCAGCAAAGGCCATGGAGCTGTCAGCTATTGTTCATGGTCCCAGAGCAGATGCTGTGGGAGGCAAGGGGGTGGGCATCTCAGAAAATTGCCCAGGGAGAGTCAGGCTCAGAGCTAGGGGGAGGCCAACAGGTCAGTGGCAAATGGAGGAGGGGGCTGAGTAAGAACAGTGGGTGGTTGGGCCATGGACGCAAAGACATCAGAGAATCCAGCCTCCCAGGCGATGGGGAGGCACTATCTTGCCTCCCACCTCTCATCCCCACCTTCCCCTCTGTCCTGTCGCAAGGCCTTATCTCCATCCTCAGCCCACCTGGGAATGTGAACCCTTTTAGGGAGCAGACCAGGAAATCAGAGGAATGAAATTCAGTCACTCTCCTGAGCCTGATGGGGAGTCTCTCCCACCTCCCCACCCACTTTATAACCCCACTCTGCCTGCATGATTAGACCCTCTGTTAGGGAAGGTGGATAAGGCTTTGTCTAGGAGATAGCTCAATTGTCTTTGAATAAGGACCCAGTTAAATTATGGTACATCTACCTGTTGCGAGAAATCAGGGAACCGGAGAAAGCAATGAGGTTACAGGAGGATTTATTTCAGGTGTACACCGGCTCAGTGTATTTGCATCCAGAAAGTCTGAGCAATGGACAAAGAGAGCAAGTGTCTTTTATGCATCCAGGGGCCCGAAATCACGAAGCAGGAAGCAGGTTTACAGAATCGAGAATAAAAGCAGTTAATAAAAACTGCAACAGGCTTACTTACATATGACGCTTGGTGTACGGGTCAGGTGTTCCTTATCTTGGATTTGGACCGGTTTGGACAGTGCTGCATGAGTTTATCTTTTGGCCTTTGCCCTGGTGCCTTGCTGTCTGCAGTTCTGGCCTGCTTAGACATTTCTCAGGCCTTCAGTGTGTTACTTAGATACAAAACAGACTATGTGAAGTTATACAGGAGATAGATACCTACAAATTCCTAAGCTTACTCATACTACAGAGGTAAGGGTATAAGGAAAATTTAGTTTCCCTCCTTATGTTGAGGGAATGCTGGAAAAGTCTCCAGAGCACATTCCTCTGAGCTCTGGCTTCTGAGGTAACATCAAGGTTTCTCCTGGGCCTGGGCTTTGCCTGTTAACTGCCTTCAGCCTAATACAGAGAACTTGTTTTATTCCCTTTTTGATGTTCAATGTTCTTTTCTTTCTTTAATTTCCCACCTCATACCCAGTGGAATTTAATGTGGTAACAAAGAGGAAGTTCCTAATGTACAAATACTGAAAAATCTCCACATGCATTGTTAAGTGGAAAAAGAAAGGCGTAGAAGAATGCTATATAAAAAAAAATCTGTGTAAAAAAGGACTTAAAATGTCTGTGTTGATCAGGTGTGGTGGCTTACACCTGTAATCTCTGCACTTTGGGAGGCCGAGGCAGGCAGATCATTTGAGATCAGGAGTTTGACATCAGCCTGGTCAACATGGTGAAACCCCATCTCTACTAAAAATACAAAACTTAGCTGGGTGTGGTGTAATCCTACGCCTTATGCCTGTAATCCTAGCTACTTGAGGGGCTGAGACAGGAGACTCACTTGAACCCAGGAGGCGAAGTTTGCAGTGACCCAAGATTGTGCCACTGCACTGCAGCCTGGACAACAGAATGTGACTCTATCATTTAAAAAAAAAAAAAAAGAATATCTGTATTTGCAGGTGAAAATTCTGTGGCAAGGTATGAAAGAAATTAATAAGGTGGTCACCTGCCAGAAAAGGACAGGATTAGGCATGAGACTTTTCTCTGTAAACCTTTGCACATTGTTTTAGATGTGTGAATATATATCTTATTTAAATATATATAGGTATGTGTGTATATACACACAAATATACCAAATATGAAGTGAAAATACTAAGGCACAGAATAACTTATCTGACTTGATAATATTTATGTAAATTTGGATAACACTAGAATGTATATAATGGTACATTTAAGTTAAGGATACTATACATGTGCTTGCAAAAGTATGAACATGAGGCCACTGAGAGTTCTGGTCCCTGGGTACCTGTCCAGTAAATTCAATGCATTTATAGCACATATATCCCATTCCTGTGCACAAATGGTAGCATACTGTTCTGTACTTTGCTTTTTCTGGTTAGTTTCATCATACATTTATTCTTTTGACAACCCAAAAACCTCATGAACCCAAGTTATCCACAGTTGCACACTTGAGTATCACTGAACATCTGATAGCACAACTAAAGTTATTTCTTTATACCTTGTAGGGTCTACACTTAAAACTCTTTCATTAGCCGATATAAACAAAGTTAGCAAGCTGGGTGTGGTGGCTTACGCGTGTAATCTCAGTGTTTTGGGAGGCCAAGGTGGACGGATCGCTTGAGCCCAGGAGTTTGAGACCACCTGGACAATACAGGGAGACCTCATCTGCACACAAAAATACAAAAATTAGCCAGGCATGGTGGTGCAAGCCTGTAGTTTTAGCCATTTGGGAGGCTGAGCTGGGAGGATTGTTTAAAATCTGGAGGTTGAGGTGGGCATGAGCCATGATGGTATCACTGCACCCCAGCCTGGGCGTCAGAGCAAGACCCTGTCAAAGAAAGAAAGAGAGAAAGACAGAGTGTGGTGGAAGGGGGTGGGGGCGGGGAGTGGGGAAGGGAGGGAGAGAGAGAAAAAAAAGAAAAGAATACAGTTAGGAAAGAGAACTTCATGTTTTCAAGAGAAAGAAACTTTGTTTTTGTTTTTTTTTGTTCAAAAAAAGAGGCAGAGCCTGTGCTTTCAGTCTGGCCTCAGTACCTGGTCCTGCCACAGGTGAGTCTGAGGTGACAAGACCAGTGTCTATCTATGAAGCCCTTGCTTCCCCAGGGCTCCATCATGGATGAGTCCTGTGCCATAATCAGCAGCCCTCTGCCCTCCTTCCATTGTACCTGCCTGTGACTTTTCTCTTCTTTTCAATGCCCTTCCTTCCCCCCAACCTCTGCCTGTGACTTTGAATGTGTTGTAGGTGTCTTTGCAGAAGAATTGCTTGGCTGAGTTTTGCCCAAATTCCTGACTCACAACATCTTGGAATATAATAAAATAATTACTATTTCAAGCAACTATGTTTATTTGATTTTTTTAAACTTTGTGTTTTGAAATAATTTTAGACTTGTAGAAAATCTGCAAAAAATAGTCAAAAGATTTCCCGTATGTTTTTATTCAACTTCCCCAAGTGTTGGCATATTACATAATAAAGCCCAGTTATTAAAAAAAATCAGGAAATTAATATTGAGGCAGTACAGGTAACTAATCTACAAGATTTATGCCCTTTATACTAGTTTCCCCACCAATGTCCTTTCTCTGGCCCAGGATTCAGTCTATGATTCCAGGTTGCATTTAGTTGTCATGTCCCCTTATTCTCCTCCAATCTGGAATAGTTCCTCAGGGTCTCTCTTTGTCTTTTTTTTTTTTTTTTTTTTTGTATTTTTAGTAGAGATGGGGTTTCACCATGTTGGCCAGGATGGTCTGAATCTCCTGACCTTGTGATCTGCCCCCCTTGGCCTCCAAAGTACTGTGATTAGGCACATACCCAGTCTGTCTTTGACTTTTATGACCTTGACACTTTTGGAGAATTACTGGTCAGTTATTTTGCAGAATGTCCCTCAATTTGGATTTGTCTGTATTTTCTTATAATTTGCTTGAGATTATGCATTTTTGGCCAAAAAATTACAGAAGATAGGTGCTTTTGTCAGTGCATCATATCAAGGGGTACATGATGAGGATTGCTACATGTTATTGCTAGTGATCATTTGGTTAAGGAGATTTCCTTACCGTATAATTATTAGTTTCCCCATTTTGGGGGAAAAAATACAACTCTGCTTTCCTCAAGGAACCTTAGGCATTAAAAGCAGATAGATCCCTTTCAAAATCTGTTTTGTCTTCCAGCTATGCCTGTTTAGTAGGCCCTGGAAACTGCATGCTTTCCTAGCCCTGCTTCTTGAAGTGCTCTACCCAGAGGCCAATAATCCGATAGGTGATTGGCAGATGAAAAATCTTATAACTACTGAACCATCTGTCTGTCTGTGTAATCATCTATGTGTTATTTGTGTATGATGTTTATATAAAAAAAGAGCTCTAATTGGCTTAAAGAAAATAACTGCTTAGATCAAATATTTTTTGAAGGAACAATAAAAGCTGTATTGTCTTTTAGTTCATGTGACTTTAATCTTTGAGAAAGAAAAACAATTTTGAAGATAATTGGTAAAATACAAATGTCTTCAAAGTGTAAATATGTGGTCTAGCGTATGTGGGTCAGATACAACTAAATGTTGTAAGGTTATAAACTGCTTCTTTGGCTTTTGAGAACTGTTTGACTTGCTGGCTTTACAATTTGGTAAGGCCTAGTGACATATGGAATTAACCACACCCTTAACTTTGCTGGAAAGATTCAGACTTTATCTGTGCTTAGTACATAATTAAAATAACTTACCAGGTTTTACATTAAAATTAAACATTGCTAAGAGTTACCATTACAGCATGTAATTGAGACTACTGAAAATAGATTTACATGCAAGGAGGAAACTTGACTTTCTCTTTTGAAAATTTTCATGTAATAGTAAAGGATAATGAAATGTTTTTGCCTTGTTTTAAATTTTTTGAGTCATCATTTTGGCTAAAATAAATAACTTATGGTAATCTGGAGTTCTATTTCATAATATTAAGTGTTTTAAACCTTTAACATGTTTGATAGACTTCCCAAAATCAAACTTCAGGTTCAAGGTTATCTCTTCTAATCCCTAACTTTTGATTGCTACAGAATGTCCCTGGAACATCCAAAAGAGAGGTAAACAGGATAAGTTAACACATTTAGTGACATGAGATTGCCAAAATAAAAAAATGTTTAACCTTCTTCAGGGTATATTTTAGTGAATAGTATTAATACATGTTCCAAAATTATTGTATGAGATTTCTTTCTTTCTTTTTTTGAGACAGAGTCTTTCTCTGTCACCCAGCTAGTGGCTTGATCTCCGCTCACTGCAGCCTCCGCCTCCTGGGTTCAAACCATTCTCCTGCCTCAGCCTCCCGAGTAGCTGGGACTACAGACACATGCTGCCACATGCAGTTAATTTTTATATTTTTAGTAGAGACTGGATTTCACCATGTTGGCCAGGATGGTCTCAATCTCTTGACCTCATGATCCACCTGCCTCAGCCTCCCAAAGTGCTGGGATTACAGGTGTGAGCCACTACACCTGGCCTAATTGTATGGAATTTCTAAAACTCAAATGTCTGATTATATGCTATGAATCATAATTAAAGTTATTGTGTTAAGTTATTGTAAACCACAGAGAAAACCAAATTTCTTTGTCAGTTGTGTTTTTAAATGTGACTGCTCAAGGACATTTTGTCATTCACAGACAGTTATTGTCCTGTTTTGACCCTTTGCAAAAGATGATTTGTGATCAGCTATTGGACTTTGAAAGGTGCCCTCAAATGCATGTTTCTAATGACTTTGGAGATTGTGACATTGGAGTAGAGGGAAAACATACAGGAGTCATAAAGAGCTGAAATGCTCATGAATGTCAAGCAGAACAAGAGATAATGGAATAAACGGAACTAATAGAAAACTGAAGTAATCCTTTTTGACTTTTTGCTTATCCTTGTTTTGTTTTTTCCAGAGTCAAGGAAACTTTTCTTTTGAGCTATCTATAGCTTTTAACAATTGAGTAAGACATACTCTGTGAACAAAATTTGGAGCATATTTCTCTCTGCCTGATTTCTCTAGAATTTGGAA